ATAATATAAATAATATAATAAAAATGTATTTATAATCTTGACATTATCACGTAAAAGAGTTATTTAAATTTATTTTTGTTTAATTTTATATTTAATAAAAAGTATTTTTATATTATAAAATTTTTGCTTAAATAATAGAGAATCATATTTTATTCCTGAATTGAATTCTATAATTTTATGTAAATTTAATGAAGATTGTAGGTATAGCTTGTGAATAAAAGAAACGGAAAAAGAAAAGAATTAATTTTGAATGAATTAAAAGGTATACAATTCATAGGATACATGTTTAGAAATTCGAAGAACATAATCAAGCGTCAATGAGTAATATAATAGTATTCATAACAAGTAACGACAATATAATCTTTTACAACAATCGATGACGGATGGGGAGGGGGGAGGGGAGAGGATGAGATTCCACATGTCTAGAATGTTTTATTCAATTCAATTTATATATATACACACACATATATACACACATGCAAAGCAACCAAGCGATAGTTAATAGTAAATTTCAAATTATTTAATTATTTTCTTATGGCGTTAAAGTTATTAAAATTATTAACTTCTTTATTTATATTTGGTGAGAAAATCAAATAAGCTAGGTAAACGATAATAAAATAAATATTATAAATATAAACTATATAAACTGTGAAGATAGAAATTGTACGTTTTTCATACAATCTTTAACCATTATGGGTTATAAGTAATGAGATAACTTATCAATCAACTATTCTCATTCAATAATAATATATTAAAAAAAAAAATACTAAATTTCTTTAATTAACTGATTCTTACAATATAATAATTTTGTAATGTTATTATTGGTGTTACATTAATCGTATGATTCATTTGTTACATTCAAATATTATGATAACCATAATCAATTTTTTTAAACGTGCTCTCGATTTTAATTAATCTTTTTTTTTCCTTTTTTTCGTCACATAACACTGAAAATAGTGGAATTTATAGGTTGAGAGTGAAATTGCGGGAAAATTTAAGATAACTTATCATTATTTTTTTTAATCAGATTTCTCAAAGTATGAATGGTGTGAAAGACATTTATATAACAAGCTTACTTATTTATGCATGTGTTGAATTCCCACAGAATGACTTGAAAAAGTGCTTTCTTTCCATTTTCTTATAGGGGGTTTGCTGTTATACAAATGAAACTTTCAAATACTTTATAGTTGCACACAATTTTCTACTGATCAATTACTATTTGTTTTTAATATACTTTTTCTCAAAGTATTTGTACTTTTGTGTTAATAATTGGACATTGGCAATTATATCATAAATATACAAGATCTTTGAACTAAGTCACTTTTTATTTAAATGTAACATTTAAAATTTCGTTTTTCACATTGTATTTTGCATTGAATGTGCATTTACATTGAATGAAATGTATTTATAAGAATTGTATATTTATTTATAAATAATTTATGAATATCTATTATTAGTACTGATAAAAATTAAACATATCTATTACATGTAGTTTTTATATATTTAAAAATTATACTTTTTAATTAGATAAATATTTTTTAATCAAAATATTATGATAATATATAAAAATCACAATGACAACTTTTGCTTTTCTTTAAAAATCATATGCATTCTATCAATCTTCAACATGAATTGGTCATAAATTTTTTTTAATACCGCTAGTTCATTATTCAAACAAAAACTCAAATTATCGAGTGTATCAATAATATTTCCTTATATTTTGAGTTTATTATATTCCAGTTTGTTTTTAATTAAAATGTAAATTAATAATTAAATATAAGATATATTTAATAAATATATAATTGATACTTATTATACGTGCAAGCAAAATGTCAGTATTTCGTATATGCATATGTATATGTATATGTATATGTATATATTAAGATACAATGAAAAAGAGTAGAAAATATAATTATTAGTTGATGGATAATATGCCGAGTCGAATATGGTAGCACAATGTTTAAAAGTATAAAATTAATTATTAAAAATATGAAAACTAAATTTGTAATTCTTTACTTAATTCTCAATACAACTATTTGAAGAAATTTACCTTCAATCTTACAAATAATTTAATTTAATATCCCTATAGATTAATATACATTCGAATAAATATGATTTGTATAATTAAATCATATAAGTTTAAGCATTTTATTTAAAGGTTTATTTATTTAAAAAATTGAAATTTTGTATTTGTTGCAGTAGTTTCTATGTCAGTTGTATGAGTACTTTTGCATAAAATAAAATATTTGAAGCATCCTTTATTTCATTATATATTATACAGTAAATTACAGTAAAAAAATGTATTATAAAAAATAGGGAAATGTATTTCGAGTATTGTCATACTAGAAAATAATGTTACAGAAAATTATACATAAATATTAAAATATGAGTTAAAATTATAATAATATGATAATACTTTTCATAATACTTAAAAGTAAATTTTCAATAATTATAAATCAATAATCAATAATTATTATGATATTATTAATATTTACCGATGATCGGTCGATTTACGTGATCAAGTAGGGTGTAATTTTAAGACAAAGCTAGCCATATAATGTACATTATGATTGGTAACGTTCGCATTTCATAAGAAAGTGAATGAATTTGCAATGAAGCTAATTAAAATAGTTGTAGCTAGAAACAGGCTGATAATTTCAGAATTACATGGACATAAGAGTTAAAAATATGAAAATAGAGAATAGAAGAAGTTTTACGCAAATTGCAATGACGCAATTGGAAGCAATGAGAGGTAATGGGAGAACGAAATGCAAGCAAATAAATGAATGGAAGCGAGATAAAGTGAATCACGTGAAGGTGTCGTCGTAAGTGTCGGTAGAATTGCGACCCGAAAAAGTGCTCGTTATGTCTAATGAGCCGAGTTGGTTGGGTAAGACCAAGAAATCTGACTACGTGTTGCTGTGATGGGGAGGGGGGAGGGGGGAGGGGGAGGGGGGCCTCAGAAAATCTAGCTTCCCGTAAATTGTAGTCTGCAGGGTAATCGCGAATAGGGAGGTCGAGGTGGGGATTGGCCGACTACTTCAACTCAAAGGGAGTCGCGGGAACTGCGAAAGTGAAAGGTAGGAATTCCTCGGAGTAGTTGAAGCGGCCGCGAGAGTCTCCAAACACGTGCAGTCTCGTGTACTATCGCATATACTTGGGCGCGTGTAATCCGTCGACGGTAGTCTAACGTATAGCACATTACACGAGAACGCCGCCTATCCGATTTCTCATTGATTACTCGTGCAAGCTCGTGTCTAAATCTACATCCCCATCTTGCGTCCGTCGTTTCCTCGCTTCCATTCAATCTAGAAGCCGGGGCTGAGGAGCAAGGAGAGACTCTCGGTCGGCCTTATTGTCCACTTCGAGCGGAGAAATAAGTATTGAAACTTAGGGGATAAGGAGAGAAGAGCATCATCGCCGTCGGTTTCTGTAAAACCCATTGACGCGCTTAGAATTGGACGACGGGCTTGGTCCCGTAGAGGAGACTCGAAAGCAACGATGGCGGCTCATACCTTATAATCAACTCGTATTAGGATTTAGTTTTTATGTGCGCGCGAGGGGCAAGATGATCGATCGGCGTATGAATGCGCGCGAGAAGCGGACGAGAGTACGCAGATAAGGATGTGAGGAAAAGCGGCAGCTAGCAGCTCTAGTCCACTAATCACTCGAGTGTCCGCCTTAGCAAGTGTTCCGCGTCTCGGACTCTACGCGCTCAAGTACACGCAGACTGTCTTCGGCAATGACTCGCACTAATTGCGCGCGGCCTCGTGTCCGATGCCCTAAAATGAGGATTCCTGTCGATCAGAGTCTTCGCGTGTTCTTCACAAATTTACCGAACAAATCCGTTCATCATGCCTACATCTTTGTTTGCATTAGAGTCTACTTGTTATCCAAGTACCATTATTATCTTTCTTTCGTTCCCTATCGCTATCATTAAGAGATCATAATTCTGTTACATTTGTAGCTCTGTTTTTTCTTTTTTGAATTTATTTATTTTTCTTTCTAATATCAATATTGCAGTTCAAATATGTTACATTACTCGAGCTTACGCTGTATCTTGGAGCAAAAAGGTAAATCAATTTCAACGTACAAACAGCAAAGATTTCGTCGACCGTTACTCTTAATATCATTATCCACGTTATCCTCACTATCGTCATTAATTATAGTTTACGATAGTTAAAATATAATATAAAACTCTCTCTCTCTCTCTCTCTCTCTCTCTCTCTCTCTCTCTATATATATATATATATATATATCAAATAAAATTTCTTTTTCAACTTACATTGAAATGTATTATATAAAAGAAAAATTGCAACAAGTACTGAAGAAAATTAATTTATTGCAAGTGGTTTTTCGCGGACAACGACAACAATAATAGTAATAGCAGCAACAGTGTTTTACGATACGAATTACGATGATTTTCATTAATTTTCATATACATAAATTTAAGATATTTTTAAAGTATCAGTTGGCATTTTCCTTACATATAAGACAAATGTACGATGATTTTCATTAATTTTCATATATACAATTTGAGATGTTTTTAAAGTCTCACTTGGTATTTTTTTTACATATAAGACAAAAATCTAAAAGTTAAGGTGAAAAATCATTTACTTGGAAAATTTATAAGTCAGCTGGGAGGAAATTGAATAACAGAGTTAATTCTTTAAAGTGATTTGTAAACAAAATATGAAAAGCTAAGCTCTCTGTACACAATGTGAAAAGTTAAGGATGGGAAGAGAGGTAGAGGGGATAATGTCATAAATTCAATGGATTAAGAGTGCATAGAAAGCATTCTCGAATTGTTACGTACAAAGGATGGTAATGGGCTTAAGACGCGTCGATAGCGCGGCCACAAGATCCGAGGATGTTTACTCCGACGCTCCCACCTACGCGCATAAAATCAATCGTCGCTCAAGCTTTCCGTCTATTGAAATTTCACCATGCAGGCCCCACAGCCAAGGTCGTTCGAACTAACGACGCTTACGATATTTCAGGAAGAACGAGGCTTCTGCTGGCGGTCCTTGTGCAGGCAATAATGGTAGGCCCAAGCCTCGGCAGCTCCCCCTGTCCTTGGTCCGCCCAGGGTCTCGCCGAGCTCGAGAGTTCGTGCACCTGCGACTACAATTTGGCTCTCGAACTCTCCGTTCAGTGTGACGCCGTGGACCTTGGGCAACTGCTCGCCGGGCTGCGGCGTTTCGCTTCGGCCCAAGCTCGTATCGACCTCCTCTACGTTAACAACAGCACCATCGGCCAGCTGAGGAACGGCACCTTCATCGGTCTCCGTATTAGTAATCTCCAGCTAAGCGGCTGCAAGCTACGTGGAATCGAGCCCGAGGCGTTCATCGGACAAGCCTCGAGTCTGCGTAGCCTTAACCTTCGAGACAACGATTTGCAAGAACTTCCGCGGGCGGCTCTCGCCGGCCTGAAAAACCTCACGGTCCTCGACCTCTCGCGCAACAGGATCGCTCGTGTGCCGGAGCACGCGTTCATCGGTCATCGTCTGGTCACCCTCAAACTCGCCGGTAACAGTGAGCTCGTCCTTGAGCCAGCGAGCTTCCGAGGGCTCGAGCACTCCCTCAAGAACCTCAATCTCATGGGTACGCGGCAGCGACGACTTCCGGAGGCCCTCAAGGGCTTGGCCGTCCTCGCCTTTCTCGATCTCTCGCAAAACAGCATCAGAGAGCTGGGAGGTTCCGCGGGCTTTCAGGGTCTTGCCTCCCTTACGGGCCTCAACCTCGAGCGGAACCTTATCCAGGCGATTGGGTCAGACGCCTTCGTCGGGGTCAGTTCCACGCTCACCTCCCTGAGTCTGCTTAACAACCTGATACCGGAGTTCCCCACCAACGCCATCGCTAGTCTTCGCGAGCTCAAGGTTTGCTCTTTTGCGCTACCTTTTACTTCGTAGCAAAATTACACAACCGACTTGGCGTTCTAAGGACGAGACGGGCGTTACGGTGCTTTGGCTGACCGAGGAGTTTTGTCCGTATCGATCTCTCGTACAGTCATCATTTTTTTCTTAAAAATTTGATTTACTATACATTTTAATGAGGCTTTGAACTTTGAGTAATCTATTTTTTCTCTATCTCCATCCGCGTCACTTTATCAGATCAAATTCCGTAAGATGAGAGCAGTCATTTTCCATTTACATGATTTTACGGATAATGGATTTTCTGTCATAATAACGCTTTTTACCTTATGCTTTCTCTCTTCTTATATTTGTATTATTTGTATCAGTCAAAAGCAGGAACGGCACTTAAGTAATAATCAAATTTACCTATTCTGGATACGCATGTACTGTTGTATTAGATATAACAATTTATCTTACTCTTGTTGGTTTGTTTTCTTATACCATTAACCCTAGCACTCGTGAATATAGTAAATTAAGTATACGATAAAACATAAAAATGTCTGATCAATACAAAAATATCTATATGTCATGGTAAAACAATGTTACTATATATATGACATATAATATTTATCGCCATTATAGATATCATCACAGTCTAAAGTATTTGAAAGCTTAAATTGAAGATTCCATTTTTTGACTACAGGTTAAACAAAAAAAAAACCTTTTAAGCTATTCATTGAGTTGAATAAAGTAATGATAATCCCCATCGGTAAAAATTCACTAATATGGTGTATAATAAATAAGATAAGGCCTGTATTTCCAATTACACACCTACTTATCTAACCAAGAGTAACAATTCATTTTAAATTAATGTAGCTGGAGATTTTAAATAACGTTCATCTCATTCTGAACATTAATTCATATTTCTACAATTTACGTGTTCTTAATTATGTTAAATTACCTCTAATTTTAACGAAAATTACATATATAAATGATATGTATCTGAAAGTTGTTAAGAACTTTCCAATCCTTATACTTATTAAATATTTAGACATCCAGTCAAAATTAATACCATACAATCTTATTAATAATATTATTAAATATTATTAAATCTAAGTTATAATATAATCTAATAAAATTTATTCGTTTTTATTATTAATAAATATGTGTAATTTAATTATAGTCGTGCGACAGATGACAACCACATAAATGTATAACAATTTTAATTTTTTATCATATATATATATATATAATAGATTTTTATTGTTTATCGTTGTCTTAATATGTGAAGTACAAAATCTTTCAAGCGTACTTTTGTTGTTTGGATGAACGAATCAATACGATTAGATTTGCGCTGCTAAGCATAGCTTAATACACTTAAAAATAAAATCTCTTTTCTCACGTGCTTTCGCAAAGTATAATCTCAATTTCAACAATGGACCGAATGAATTTTGAACAATGACAATTCAATTTTAAATTTATAGTTTGCGAACTTTCCCTAAAGATTAAACTATTTAGCTCCAAAAATTCAATTTCAATTATTGTATGAGTATAGATGATACGAGTCCATTGAGATTTCAAAAATTTCATGTTTCAATAAATAGTATGCTAATAGTATACTTCGGAATGCAAATAACCGATGGATTAGTTGTAAAGAATTCTCCCATTAGGTATTGGACATCGGCTTCAATTTGATGACGGAGCTACCGGTGCGCGCGTTCGAGGGCAATCCGTCCATTACTCTCTTGGCCATCGATGGTAATCCTTTATCGAGCGTCCCCGAAGAGGCTTTCGTCGGTTTAATTGGGACGTTGCGTGGCCTCAGCCTCGGCGGTCGCTTTTTAATGTGCGATTGTAAGCTCCGCTGGATCGTCGAGTGGATACACACGAGGGAGCTCCAGGTAACGAGTCGCGAGAGCAAACCCCAATTTTGTGGTAGCCCACAGAGATTACAAGATAAGAGTTTCTACGCTATCAAGCCAGAGGGTAAGTACATTGTATAACTTCTTCATATGCTTGAATTTTCGTTGTTCTAAATATTTTGAATATGGCTAGGTTGACCATTCGTGAACGAGCAATTCATTTAGCTCTATTTTTTTTACGCATTTCGTATGCAAAAAGCATTCTTTTTTTTTTTTTTTTTTTTTTTTTTTTTTTTTTTTTAACACTTTAACAAAACGTACGAACATTCCAAATTATTACCACGTAGTGAATAATTTTTTTTTACATTTACTATTATTTAATGTAAATATTAATGTTAAATGTAACCATTAAATGTAAATTTAAGTATAATATCCGATTGATTTGGATAATTAATGTTAGTTAAATATACATATTAAAATTTTGACATGTTAATGCTTATTGCAAGTTTATAGTAATACGAGGTAATTGGAGGTGATCGAAGAAACTCTATTACTCCAAACGCAAATCAATGTGATCATTTAAATTTAAAAATTATAAGATCTAACACACAATTACTGCTCCTGATGATTTTAATGATATAAGACAAAGCATATTCTTCTTTTAGTATTGATAAATAATATCTTTTTCTTCGTTTATTCTTTCTTTCTAATCTTGATGCTAGTGCATTGTATCGTAAGGAATTAAACAACGAACTTTTAATAAAGTTCAATTTTTCCACCGACAACTTTTGCAATTACATTCTTGTTATATAAATATTAAAATACTCGATTTAACCAAATTTTAAATGCCAAAATTTTATTATTTAAAATGTCATTAATATTTCAATAGATAACCTTGTTTTTACTCTAGATACTAAATTACAAATTTCGAATATTAATTATTCAAGATCGTAATTTTCTATCTAAAGTTTCAAAAAAATAAAAAAATGAATAACTACCACCAACACAAAGCGTAACTCGAATTCCTTTTTCTTAATTATCGTTCAATATGCATAAAGCATAAATCAAACAAAATTTTCTAAAATACTTATCAATTATACTATTACAAATTATTGTAACAGAGCATTATTAATAACTAATTATTTTACTTTAATATTTTGATAGATAGAGATTTATTGCAAAACATTATATATTTTTTTTATGTGGAATAAAATTTAATTATATTATATTATAATTAAATCAATAATTTTTCAAAGTAGAAATAATTTTACAAAGTCGACATTTGTATATACAAAATTATATTTCCATTATTCTGTCATTATCTTTCGCTTCTTATTTATAATTGCTATTTACAAACTAAATATCGATTCATCCATTATTTTGAAACTGAAAAATTCTCAAAAAAAAAAAAAAAAAAAATACATCAGTTTATCAACTCCAAATTAAAATTAAAATTAATCGATTTCTTACAACCGTTTAGCTGCATCAGATGAAATCGATAAACAGGTTGTTTTAATGCTACAGAAATGACCTGCGAACGGCATACGGAGATCGTCGGTTTCGGTACGGTAGAGAGCGTCGAGCCAACCGGGGCTTTACTCGACGCCCTTGAAACAAACCAACAACAATCCGGTCCGAGCCTAAGTTCCGGTATACTTGGCTCGAGCACGAGCTCAGCCAAACCCATGAGTACGAACTTCGAAGTTAGCACAAATTCTGGTAGCACCGTTGCTACTCACACGCCGACTTTCCTCGCTCAACCGACCAGTACCAAACGATCGACCAACGTCTTTGTAACAAGGACGAGCGTCGCGCCCAGGCCGCCTCTCGTGCTCGGTTCGCCTCTCTACAAGAGCAAGTCCCAGGAAAAGGATATTATCGTCAAAGACGTGCTAAGGCAAGATAACTCCGTCATTATACGTTGGGATAGCGAGTCGCTGGCGCTTGGCTTTCGGGTCATATATCGACTTTTTGGCGATTCGACTTTCAAATCCGGCCCACCGCTCGAAAACAGCGAAAGAGAATTTAAAATAAAAAACGTCCCCTCCCAGGTTAGTACATTTGTCTATCGAAATTACTATTCGTGAAAAATCAATTATTTTCGAGTCCGTTAAAAAGAATATTAGACGAATATAATTAACGGCTTTCTTCATTATATATCTTCCACAAATTCCACAGTATTTGTTTACTTTATTTTACAATACAATTGCTTTTCTACTTTGGTTATAAAAATTATTTCAAATTTAAGGTACATTCAATATTAAAAATTACGTATACAATGATTAAAAAACAACAACAAAAAACTAAATCTAAAGGAAACTCATAAGCTAATAATTTTTTTGATTAATTTTTGTGATTACAAATAAAAACGCATTCCAGTTATGACAAAAGTAAATTTTTCAACTCTACAATTATACAAGATGTTTATATATATATGTATATATATATATATATTTTTTGTCTAATAAATAAGTAAATAAAAAGAAAAGAATTTTTTCTTATTGGTAGATAATATATATATATAATATTTTAAGAGTAATTAGCTAAAGCTTAATTATGCAAGCGCCAATATAATCTTACAATTAAATATAAATGTATAATTCGGAAAACACGAGCTTGATCGTTTTATTCTCTATAGGGTGAAACGGTAATTATTTTTCCTGACAAAAAATGAATTAAAAATAAAAAAAAACTTTTTCCAATGACACGAGACATCATTCGACTAAATAAATTGTACGGAAGCGAAGCAAGGGGAATTGAAATTGTACGAAAGGAATGAAAGCCGCTTAATTAATGGGAAATGTGGTGAGGGGGTGGGGGGTAGTTATAAAAAGATATAATGGATTAATAGGGGTTTGCAACAATTTCACAGGAGTGCATAATCGTATGTGTGGTGGGCGCAGAGGAGGCGCCTAACCCTAATCCCGCGAGCGTTCCCTACAGCCAGTGCCGCGAGGTCCGTACCGAGGGTTCGCCAACCTCCAACATGGATCGCATTACGATCGCCGCAAGTGCCGCCATCTGCGCAACTATCGTTGCGGCCGTACTAATCTTCCTCCTGGCAAACCGTCGCCGTCGGCGCACCAGTTCCCGAAAGCTCCACACGCTCCAAGAACCAGGGAAGCTGCCCATTGCTGGTCTCCCGGTGAACTGTTGCTCGAGCCTTGTAGGCCCGACCCCTAGCCCCGGGGCTATGGGCGGTCCGCTCCCGGGTGCTCAGGCCTCTCTCAGCGCTTACAGCGTCCAGAAGGAATGGGACCAACTCTCGGCTTATAGTACGCGTAGTATACCGCGTCCAAGGATCTTCCCGGTCGAGCGTCAAGGCTCGGTCACGCGGGCCTCCTGCCTCGAGGAGGCTGCTCCGCCAGGACCGGGCTCCCTCACCGTACCCAACCACGCCAGGGGCCACTACTTTCCAGGAGCCTCGCTGGGCTCGAGCCTCGTAGGGCTGGGCGCTCGCCCAGGTGCGTACGGAGATCGCTGTCTTCCCTAGTCGAGTGTCGGCGTCGATTTTGTGTTCTCATAGTAGTCGTGGAATTTTCAGAGCTGCGGCACTCGAGGCAGTCCCTGGCGGCCACTTCGGAGCGCATGGCACGAGGTGGATTCTCCTCGGGGGTGCAGCTGGCCCCTCAGGCTCAAAGTAGCGCCCGGAGACAGCGGCCGCGATCGCGTAATCGCGGAATGGAGCCAAGTCTTCCGCGCCCGGGCAGTCGCTACAGTTTAGCTGAATCCACTCACACCCTCAACAACTACGAGGAAGGCAACTGGACGGACCACGACATGGACATATATATGGCGCGCAATCCCACGACCAGGGGTGGACTCGTACCCCTGTGATGATTCTCAAAATTGTACTTTCACGTTCGAATATTTGGCTGGAAGAGTTACGCCACTCGGCTCCCATTTGTTTCCGGGGGTTCTCGTTAACGATGGTTTTCGCGAGCCTATTCGAAAGCAATTATTGCTCATACCTTACACGTGTTGTGCAATTTTATTATTATTATTATTTTTTAAATTAATTTATATTAAGAGCAAGTTTAAATACCTCATTTTTAAATATGACCATCATTTGTCGGACGGTTGCAATGCACCTCAGGACTTTTAATTTCCATTAGTTCGCTCATTCATTTTAAAAGTTTAATTATTATCTAAGCTGTTCTCGTCATCATCTTCCTTATGATCATTACTAATTACTACTACTATATACAATTACTACGCATACCACTATCACTACTTACGCCAACTTGCTACTACCTACTACTACATACAATTACTACGCATACCACTATCACTACTTACGCCAACTTGCTACTACCTACTACTACATACAATTACTACGCATACCACTATCACTACTTACGCCAACTTGCTACTACCTACTACTACATACAATTACTACGCATACCACTATCACTACTTACGCCAACTTGCTACTACCTACTACTACATACAATTACTACGCATACCACTTTATTATTACTATGAAAAATTTATTTCATAGTTTAATGAACATGAACCTACCCTCCCTACTATTATAATGTAAGCTTAGCTCTATTATTAAATTAACCTTCATGCTATAGTCTCAAGTTAGTTTCAAACTATTGTAGTTTAACTATGTTGAAAAATTGAGACAAGATAAAATAAATAAATCAAAGAAATGCAACCATAATAAAGGGTATATTGATTATGAACGAGCGATTTACACATTAAGTGTTGCTCATTTTATAGTCAATCGTGTATTAATTCAGTCACAAATAACTCAACTCTCTTTCTCTCTTTTTTTCTCAAATATATAATGCATAAACAAGGCTTTATAATTTGATACAAGCAATTATATTGGCATTTACATCGACAAGGTGTATCGGTAATTGAACAAAAACTTTAGACTTTAATGTGCCGAATGATTAGTTACAAATTTGTTATCCACTAACAACAATCAATACTTTGTTAACAAAGAAAAAAAGAAAAAAAGCTAAAATGAGATTTGCACAAAATGTTCTATACAAAGAAATGCAAGAGTAAGAATACAGTGCTTATTGTAAGAAAACATAAAAAATACCATAAATCAATTTAATTAAGATTCAACAAAAATTTTTTTTATTTTTATTTGTTGTTGTTGTTGTTATTGTTGTTGTTGATATCAATTAAGTCAACAAAACTATAAAATATTCTCTATTCTTTTATAATATTTTTTTTTTTTTGCTTACATCTGCAAATATACACATATATTAACTACTTACCCTGGTATTGGAATACATTTTTCCCAGCGAAATCTTACTTCTTGTACAAATTCGTACCAAAGTTGAGCAAGTGCGGACATGCTACCTAAATTGTAAGCGCAGTGTGCTGCCACAATGGCGAGACGCCATATCAATCCGTTAATAGCACAAGTTTTTACACCTTTCCATTGGTCATCGTCTACGTTATAATTGATTTTATCATCATAAGGTGCTTTCTACAAATACAAACAATTTACATCACTAAATAAACATCACTAAACATTACTTTCTGTTATACATAAATTTAAACGTAAATCTATTCTTTCAATTATTAATATTTCAAATTAAACTGCATAGTTGAATATTATCATTGATTAAATTATTTCATACGTATGTAATACTTTAGAAAGTTAATTATATAAGATATACATATGTATAGTAATTACAATGCTATCTAACAGTTTCAATAGTAAATTTTTATTTTTTTTTTTTTTAAATAATATCTATGCTATACTGTCATTAAATTGTACATTATCATAATTTAATGAAAAAGAATGTATAACTGTATTTAAGAATAATCTTTAAGATGCAAATTGGATTATATAAAAAATTCATTATTACTCTTTCATTTTATATGGTAAGAAAATTTGTATAATTTTTAATTAAATAATTAAATCAAAGTATTATTTATTAATATAATTTGTAAATATTATTTAAGCGTCCAATTACTTGCAATATTTAACCAAAATATATTAGAATATTTTACCGGCATTTCTTCTGCATCCGGAAATAAAAAATATAAAATTGGTAATAAAACGTCCTCTGTAATTGGTCCATCTATATTTTTACTATTTTTGGATGTAGTTTTACTAACTACGGTTGAAATTGAAGGAATTCTAGATTCCGTAAGTATATTAAATGCAGAACTTAATGATTGACTTTCACTGTCAGTATATGCAGCACCCACACCTAAAAGCTCGATTAGGCTCTTGGTGCTACTGCATAATTCTAAAAAGTTTGAGAGATAATCGTTAAGTAAGCAAATGGGTGATGAAATTTCAACTTGTAATGACCATTGTGGAGCTGTTAAAGGTTCTAAATCACTAAAACCTTCGCTGTCAATAATAACGTTTTCACATATTTCCAACCAGCTTACAAATAAATGAAATTCTCTGGAAAAAAAAATAAAATAAATAAGTAAATAAATAATAAACAATTGATAAAGTAACTTTACAAATGTACTACTGTCATTATTATTTTCAATAAAAAAAAAACTTATAAAAAAAATATACATAGTAATGAAATAAATAAACAATTCTTGTGTTTCAAGAATAATAATATCGTTACGGAAAAATCATCTCACTTTATTGGATCAAAAGTAGCTCCGAATGGAAGTTTTCCTAGTTCATCGACACCAACCGTTTCACCTTGCATAAATTCAAAATCTGGTGGATCTTGGGTCCATGTGGTATTACTCCAATCTTTCAAAGAATAAGATAATCTAACCGATACTAATACAGAATCTAATTTTATACCACAGCCTTCACCAATTTTTTGTTTAAATAGTGTTAATAATCCTGTCAGATGTCTGCAGTGAGATGGAATTTTCTTTAAATGAACCATATTTAAGTGCATTCTGGTTTTTCTACCAATATTTACTCCGAGATAAAATTTTTGCCAATGCTCTTGTACTTGAACAAATGCTGCTACTTCACTAAAAATATTTCAACTTAATTTAAAATATTTATCATGATATTTTATTTTTGATTTCTAAAACATTTTATTGTGGAATTATGTACAAAATGGCATTTTTAAATATTTATATTTAAATGTGTCATCTTCGGATATTTATTTATATAAAAGTGAGAATGTTCATATTTTTCTTTTACACAATATTATATAATTTATTATAATTTATTATAAAACATATTATAAAAATTTATTATATTAAAATTCTTGTACCTATAATTTGAAATTACGCTTATTACTTACCAATATGTATTACTCAAAGCTACAGTTAATGAGCTTAATAAAATTTTTATTCTAGTTTCATCAGTTATTAAACTTTGTTTTGTTGGCATTAATAATAAAAATTCTCTAATTCCATAGAGCCGAGCGATCTCTAACTTATCTTGATCTAACTGTGCAAAATCATTTGTGGCATTTAGTATATCCTTTTGACATTGTGTCCAAGAATCTTCCTTGCTATCAAATAATAGCTTATTATTTGATTCAGATTTTATTTCATCTACTTTTAGTCGATAATATTTGAATGAAAATTCAACATCTGATAAAGCAAACGATCAAATTAATTTAATATAGGAACTAACATCTAAAACATAAATTTGGTATAAATAAGTGTTAGTTACCTGCAAAATTCACTTTCTCTGTATTTTCTTCCCATGGTAAATTAAAATCTGCTTCTTTTAATGCTTTATAAGTTTTAAGATTGGAAAGTTTCCATTCGTGTATTATTTCTTCCAATCTTGCAATAAACACTTCCCACTCAGAAGTTGTTGTAAAGTCATGATGATAAATGTCATCAATTTCAACGTTATTCATTGTAAACTTTAACAAGTTTATCTATTAAATTTTTACTCGAAAATCACATTGAAAACATATTAATACAGATGTTTATTATCTTGAAATTTGACGTTGAAGTTCTCAGTGTCTGCTTCTCAGTTAGACATAAACAGATAATCTTGTGAGGAATGTGCGACATCTGGTGGTGATCAAATTTAATTCCAATATAACAATTTGCATAATTATATTTAAAGTTTAAGGAAAGGCATATTATTCCAAGAAAAAATGTTTTATTCATATTATTTATCAGTTTGATATTTAAAATGATATTAACAATTTAACAAGTGCAATGTTTATATTAAACCTCTTTGGTTAACTTTCATTCATCATTTATAGCATAAGTATAAGAAATTCTTTCCGGTTTTTATGTCTCCATAATTTCGTGAACCGTGTTGCCAGTATTGCCATTTCTTTGGAATACAACGTTTTAAGGATCAAATCATCATACGACAAATATTATTCATATATTATATTCATTATTTTTACGTAACGAACTTTTTTGTATTATTAACATAAATAAAGAAATCTATTAAGAATGAAAGTATAGAAAGAAGTCAATATGGTTGGTATTTTAAATGATTCGGATAGCGATGATGAACTGCCGCCTGGATGGGAAGAACGAGCTAGTCATGATGGAAATGTTTATTATGTTAAGTCGGTATAATTGTTCAATGTCCGTAATTATTATTTATTTTGTATTTATTCAAAATTAATTTTATGTCATAGTCATTTCACAAAAGGCACCCAATGGACGCATCCTCAAACGGGTCGTAAAAAAATTGTTGAAGGAGAATTACCTAATGGATGGGAGAGATGTATTTCGAACGGTCAAATATTTTTTGTTGATCACGCCAATCGTATGACGACATATACCGATCCACGTTTAGCTTTTGCTACTGAATATAGAGAATTATCGCAACCTGTTAGACAGCGTTTCGATGGGACTAGTACCGCTTTATCTGTACTTTATGGAAGAGATTTACGAAATAAAGTTGCCCTCGTTACTGGAGCTAATACAGGAATAGGTAAATATTTTTCAAATATTCTTTAAAGCAACTTTAATTGCAAATCATTTGTATTAATAAGAAGAAACATACTTAGGCTTTGAAACTGCAAGATCATTAGCATTGCATGGATGCACAGTAGTATTTGGTTGCCGTAACATGAAAAAAGCACAATTAGCTATAGATAAGATTTACCATGAAATGGAAAATGCATCGTGTGACTTTTTACATTTGGATCTATGTTCTTTACATAATATTCGAACTGCCGCTGCCAAATTTAAACAGAAGTATAGGTAATCTTATATCAAATAAAAATAATACTTTTAAATTACATGAATAATTAATTATGAAATTTATTTTTATTCTCTGATAGAGCTCTTGATATTCTTATTTTAAATGCTGGAGTTTTTGCAGTTCCTTATACATTGACAGAAGATGGTTATGAAATGACATTTCAAGTCAATCATTTATCTCAGTTCTATCTTACATTACTTTTGGAACATTCATTACGAAGTTGTTGCAATGCCAGAGTTGTTATTTTATCCAGTGAATCGCACAGGTAATAAATTCAAATTATTATCTTTATAAACATTATTTAAATTTTCATGTATGGAAGTATTGCTTTAGATTTTCATTAATCCAGTCGATCCAAGATCTTCATCCATTGATATTATCTCCTCCAGCATATAAATATTGGTCTATGGGAGCCTATAATGATTCAAAATTGTGTAATATTTTATTTGCCCAAGAGTTAGCAAGACGATGGCCTACAGTGAGCATATTTAGCTGTCATCCTGGTAATATGGTATCCTCGGATTTGTCACGATATTCTTGGATGTATAGATTTTTATTTGCTTTAGTTAGACCATTTACAAAATCTTTGGTAAGATATTTATTTTGAGAATCATGCTGGTGTCATTATAATATCGCAATATTATTATTAAAAATTATTATTACAGCAACAAGCAGCAAGCACCACAGTATTTTGTGCAACTGCTGCAGAATTAGAGAGCACCACAGGTATTTACTTTAATAATTGTTATCGTTGTGATATATCAAATGCTGGTTTGGATCCACAATTAGCATCACGTTTATGGGACACCAGTCAAGAAATGATTATTAATGTTGTAAAAAGGGATAAGCTGTGGTATGATTTAGCCTTAACGTGATAAGTACAATTGACAAAGCCATTATGACAATTGGCAAGTGAAAGACTGAAATTTATTGCAAAACATAAATTGTTATTATATGTTGTTGGATATCAGCAGTCATTATTTATTATAAAAATTACAGAGAAACACGTGATTGTAATTATTAGTATTTGGTCACGATAAATCATTGCAAAAATAATATTTATTGCATTAAATAAAAATTCAATATGATCTTTGATATATCATATTGAAAGAATTATATTGAAAACGAATATCGCCCCAGAATACTTACGGAACTGCAATGTCCAAGTTATTGTTATTTCATTTAATCTTTAACATTTGTTATTTATCTAAAATAAATATTTGTTGTATTAAAATTAATTTATATAAAATTGAGTAATTTAATTTAAAGCTTCTTAAACCAGTTTTTGAAACATTAAATAATTTCAGATATTTAGATTAAATCATATGTGCAAAAAAGATTAGAGTGATATTAATTCAATTACTGAACAATTAAATGCTTTGTATTAAATTTATTAAAACCATTTATTGTATTTTAATACAATCCCTTTGTATTGCTTTTGTTTGAATTTAGTCTAATTGGCTTAAATTTTATTGTTTGGCTGCTTATGTGTATTAATTATATGTCATCTTGTCACCTGCTTACTATTTCATCTAACATTAAAGTATCTGTTCAATGGCAAAGTGAATAAACAATTAGCAACTTAAAATAAATCAAATATTTTTCGGTACACTTTCTCATTTTAGGTCGTATTTTTTAATAATTATTGTACAAGTTTTGTCTTGCATCCATCTAGTAATACAATATTGTTCTGATAAAAAAATGGAAAAATCTCCATTCTTTTAATTTCATATACATTTATTATATTGTAAATACTATGTAAATATTACATCAGAAACAATTTCAATGATACACTTTTATTCTTTATATTTATTGCTAAAGTCAAACTTCGCTAATTTAGCTGATACAATCAATGTATAACAAATCTCTTGATATAAATTGCATTTAGAATGCCGCAATCATTTATTATTTTAAACGATACCTCTTTTGCATCGATATATAATTTAATAGACACTTATTGGTTATTTAACTAATAACTTAACTAAATTTTAATTAAAATCTTTAACCACATCTATACTTTATCTTTTAGTAAATTTAAAATATTTACTAAAAATGTTTCACATTTAAATTGACTAATAATACACCTACTATTAATTGAACAAATTTTATATTCTTATTTTTACAAATAACAGAAATAAAAATATTTATTACGAATAAATATCATTAATATTTTATTTAAAAACTGTATAAAAAACAATTGAATTTTAATCCTAATATATTTTTTAATCGAACAAAGTTATTAGAATTATTCCATTATTAATCGTGATTGTGCCTAAATAGTAGTTCTTATATATATTGTAATGAGAACTTATATTATTATTAAGCAAGAGTAATGTTTTAAAAAATAAATAGTCCCAACATAAGAATTTACTAGCAAAATAAAGTAAATTTGAATTTGTTTAAATAGTTAAATCTATCATTTTTCATTTTATAATTATTTATTATTGAAATTTAATACAAATATTTTAATTTATACGATTAAAAAAATTAAATTTTAATTATAATGATTAAATATTATATTCCGAAATTTAAAAATTTTTTTATATTATTCATTTTCTGTACATTATGCAGTAAAGTTGCTAACCTTTGAGTTATAAATTTCATTTTTTTAACAGTTTTAATGAAAGTATATTTTTTCGTGTTACATTATTATAATTTAATTTGTTATTTGAAATAAAATAAATATAAAATAATTAAAAATAATACAGAGTAAATTTAGTAAAAGATAAATATTCAGCATAGGAATGTAAAAAATTTAAAATCATAAAATCATAAAATCAACCATAGTTTTATTATTCATTTTAAATTATTTACATTGTACATATCTCAAGTGTGGTTTGTTTTTATTTATTTTTTTTGTTTTAATATAGTTTATTTACTTTCAAACATATTCACAGTATTCAAGTTTCAATTGTTATAAAATTCTGTTAAATATTTTGCCTTTGGTTTTAATATTAATTTATCTGTAAGACTGATAACCCAGCCTGGATCAAGACCATAAAATATTTGACGAGGATCTTTGCGTTCCATTAGCATATTATAATCTACGTCGTCTTCAATTTTTGGTAACTCATAACCATACTTTTGTGCTAAAACAAGCCTCTCGTAAGATATTTTTTCTGGATCTGCTAAATATCCTCGCGAAACTGCATCGCAGTAATATTCTAAACAATCTAATGGAGGAAGCATACGACGCGGTATTGGTTCTCCTAATAATAAAAGAAATCATAAATTTACATCTTGATAATTAATTTTAATAAATAATAATGTACCTTTTTTAAAAAATTTTACTGGATTAATGGCAGCATATACACTGTGTAAGTCATAAAATGCTGTAGTTATTACTCCTCCGTTTCTTTCAATTGCTGCTATGACTGGTTCCGAAGCCCATTGAACTTCAATATTTACTTTGGATGTAAATAAATCAGCTCCCTTATAAGTCATTTAATTTAAATAATATATTAGAATAAATATAATGAAATAATATCAAGTATTAAGTTCAATTAAATGTACAAATTACTTCATCAGTGAGCTGAACTCCATAATGTTTCCAATCTGGCTTAATCGAAATTATACCTGTATTAGCTATGGCTGTTAAATCTATAGGCTTATTATTATCAATTCTATTTGTATCAATCATTAGTTGAAGTTGTTGTAATGACATAGGTGGATACTGGCGTCTTAAACTTTTTAATAAAAATCGATTGAAAATTACACAAAAAAGAAATAGGTATTTATTTCCATTTTATTTTTAATTTTATTTACCAATTAAATAAATGAATATATATATATATATATATATATATATATATATACACTATTTATAAAATAAAAATAATAAATTTAATTTTATTAAATAATCAAAATAAGCACATAAGTTCTTAAAAATATTTAATTATTATGAAATATATTCAATGTTATAATAATAACTTATATTGTTTTAAGTAAGACTACATTTTATCCTTTAAATATAAGTAAAACTTACTGATGTCCTTTATAATACGATTCATGACCAAATCGTAAATAAAAAGGGATATTTCCAGTTTCATATCCAACTCTCATATAGTTTTGTCTTTGACCCGAACCCTTATTACCTGCTCCATGTTTATCACCTCCATGTTGTCCTCGTCCTCTTTTGGGCTGATTGATGAGAAATCAAGGATAATATTTACTTATTACATATATTTAGAGAAAATTAATTAGATAAATCTTTCGGTCGTATAACTCATACTTTTTTTTTGGCATTTGGTTTAAGATTAGCCAAACAAACTCTTGGCAATGCTCTCAGCATTGTTAAAGCTAATTCGCGACCGTATAAGCCAGCTCGAGCCATTTCTATTTATAATAGAATTAAATTGTATTTTACACGGATATATAATGTAATCGATATAGAAGATTACTATTATTATAAATTGATGTTAAACTGGGAAGAAAATACAGAGCAAAAATTAATGCCTCACTTAATCATGTTATCTAGTATATCTATTTCATTGTGTGTGTGTGTGTTTTTTTTTTGACTATTATTATTATTATGAAGTGCTGCCACGGAACGTAAATACATTAATCTGACGCATGCGTTGTCGAGATTCACATTATGTGCTTAGTATGAAAAAATTGATGGACAGTGTTATTTTTTATACAAAATTGTTTTTCTTTATGCTGAATTTATTGTATAATGATACTTTATACAATAATAGTTGGTGATTAATAATAATAATAATAATAATTAGTATTGATCGCACACAAAAGTATAAATTGTAGTGTAAAACAGAAAATCTTATAATTATATCTTTGTTTATGCTCTTTTATAATTTGTACATATTTTCAATAAAAACATGTTCAAGATCAGATAGTTGTGTTACATATTTTAAGTACACATTTCAGATTTCAAATCTAAATATATTCCTCTTTAATTACTTTAATTTAAGGGTTTTTAAAAGTTATTTCAGCTGCAATTTAGTATGTTATACCATGAAATATTGACAATCGAATATTTTGTTATTATTAGTAGAGGTGTGATTTTTTCAGTTTACTCCCAATTCTTTATGTAACTAGCAGCACATACGTAAATAAACTAATGTGAGTTAGGCGTGATTAAGAACTTAAATAATCAAAGTACTGTATGAAATATGAGAGCGCTAGATATAAATATTTAAGAGTAGTTCTAATACAAGTGTGTTTAAAAAAGTGCCAAATATATGTAAAATACGAATCTCGATTGATGACCGTGATAAACGATAAAGTTTCTTCGTAATTCTTCTTAAAATAAATTTATTAATTCTTGATTTGTATATTATAAAAATCCCAACTTTCTTCCGACGAGTATTAACACATGCAGTTTAATGAAGAGATTTGAAACACAGTTGTAACATTTCTAAATCTAACGATCATATTGCTTTGAGGCTTATGAAGAAGTGAAAGAAACGTAATAAATTTTAGAATAAATAATCGTATTTTTTTGAGTGTTAAATAGCAAAATCATTAATCGACTCTTATTAATGTATGAACGAATGCATGACATCGAGAATTAATATAGGTATTAGTCATGTGTAATTCTTGAAATATCATCATTTGAATTTCGAATTATTTTATTGTTTGAAGTTTTCCATTTACGTTAACGTTTATGATTTTTTTTTTTTTTTTTTTTTTTTTTTTTTTTTTAATTATATTTAGTGATTAACATTACTACATATTTTTATAGCGAGTAATCAAGAATTAAGTTAAGATAAAACTTCTTTCTCTTTTCAAGTAGCACACTTAAATTGTTATAATATTCATGAGATGTTAGATTGTAATCCTGCATTGCATTATAAAATAAAATTTAAACAAAACCTTATTAATGTGATGAATTACAAAAGTTTATAACAATGTTTATTAGAAATAAAAAACATCCTATTTTCGAATATCAATTTATTTTTAACGATAAAAAGACATAAATTGCGAAAATTGTAACATTCAAGGAAAGAAAGATTTTAAATTAATTAATAAAATGAAAATGTAAGAAGAAAATAGTACATAATTAATATCAAGAATACAAAATATTAACAAAATAATTTATAATTTTAATATTACTACACAATTATTATTATATTGTAATCGACTTTTTTAACTCTTAATTATTTCAATTATGTTTTAAATTTACAATAAAATAAGTACTTTTTTTCGTACTTTAAAAGAATGATATATAAAATAATTCGTGAGACTGAAACTAAAACTTACAAAAATAGTTTGATATATAATTACAAAAACGCAGAGTATCATAATTCTTTTATTATTATATTACAAAAATATATAACGGTTATTAGTAATTTATTTCTATTTCTATTTCAACCATTATTTATTTATTAAAAGGCAGTTTTTATTTTAATTTTTTCAATAGCTATTTACAACATTTAAACTTATCTTATAATGTAAATAATATTTAATATTTGCGACTGAGAAAATCTAATTTATATAACATTATTTCCTTCCATTTTCTAATATTTTTTTTTTAATTTGCACTAAATTATAAAAACTCACAATAGATCCAGAGCGCTTTTGTATACCCTCAAAAATTAAAATTTTATATAAAAAATAAATTAAAAATTCATATTTAGAAAGTATTGTATTTTAAAAATATAATGTTACAAAGCTCCTAACATTAATTTGGAATTTAAACTTTTTATTAATTGTATATTACAAGTATGTAATCATAGTTTGTGGATCATCAATTGTGATACCAAAGTATTCAATAATTCTGTTTTTCATAAACTTTGCTTGAAATGATATTACAATATATAGATATTTATATATTAATATTATGTAGAATGTAAGATAAAAAAATCAACTAAATACATTAAGAAATAAGTTAACGGTACAATTTTTTTTTATATTAGAAGAGCATTGTAAGAGAAGCTTGAAGTTCAATATACGATGGATAAAAATTTGTTTAAGAAAATGAAACAAATTAGGGATAATTAAATTCTATTTTTTCTTTTTAATACTGATAATATGAAAGACACAGTTGATGAATTACAGGATTCAATGATACTATGAATAATGATTTTGAGTGAAGCACATTGCTCACTAGATATTTAATAGATATTTAATCTTCAAAATACATAATTAAGAATATATTTCTAGATATACATCTATTTTATGATATAATAAACTTAATATAAAAATTTTACAAATAAAAATTAAACATAGAAAAAAAATAGAAATTTTAGTAAAGCATGAATTAATTTTATTTAAATAATATTTAAAAAGAAAATTTCACTTAATTATTTATAATTTATATGAAAATCTTTTTATGTCATGTAAAATGAAGAGTTTATTTTTCTTAATTAACTAATTATAGAAATTAATTTATCATAAATACATTACTGCAAATGTTACTGTACCATAATAAATAAAGAGAATTACAATAATATTTTTAGGAACAAATAATCTACGCAATGAATGCTTTTTTTATTTACTTTGCATCTTTAAACAACTTTTTTACAAGTACGCGCATACGCGAGGATATATATTTTAATACATTAGCCTATTTCATTATTATATCCTTGCCTTAGATATAAATTTTAATACATCATATTAATTGTACTGTAATTTAAAATTAATTATGTATTATATTGCGTGGTAACTATATATATAGTTACGACATGCCTCGTTCAATTAGGTTGTTTTGATTTTTTTTACAAGTAGAAACAGTTAATAAGTTAGTAATTGTATATATTTTGTATTAAGTTCATTATCATAAAATGACTGATATTTCTAATTTTTTAACGTTTTATTTCAAAATATTTTATTCTAAATAATTCATTCTAATTATATTTTAACAAATTATAATAAAATAGAAGGGCAAGCAGTAAAATAGTAGTATGTTTGCTTCGAATATGAACTCGCATACTATATATATAATGTACATAAAAACAAGTAACAAAAAAATTTTATTTACATTTCACATATTTAAATTTTTTAAAACGGAATAATTAAATTTTTAATTAAAATTCTAATACAATTATAAATATAGTTATATGTTTTAAAATAATAATGTCAACTGAACTTAAATATCTAGTCGTACTATAATTCAACATAATATATATATATATATTGTATAAATAGTTTCTCTTTATTTGTAAAGAGTATTATAAACATATGTTAAAACATTTCTGATTTAAATTATTAAAGTTTTTAATTTATCTTCTAATAATAAAAGTAATATTTATCCTATAAATTGTTGTTTATATTTATTATAACTATTATATCAGCTTAATTGATTTTTGAGAAATTTTGGATTTATTTCGATTAGATATATTTTAGCATTCAATTATTCATTAATTTATTTACTTACTTGTTCATATGCTATAATATCGATATTAGTTAAGATTCATGTTTTATTAAAATTAGTATATATTATTCTTATTGACATAAATTTTATTCACCATATCTATACACATCTTATTGAATTATGATAGAAGGTATATAGGAACGATGGTACTATGGCAATGAAATTATATACTGTAAATTATTTAATTTAGTATTTAATAATTGAAACATTAATAGTTCAAGCAGCTCGGTATAATAAAATATATAAATCTTAATTTTGGAATCTTTAAAATTACTCAAAAAATTTTTCTTTATGATTTTTTATTAGCCTTTAATAAATATTCGGTTATATAGCAATAAATTAAGGCAGTTTTTCATTATAGATAGCAAATTATTTGATTTTAAACATTTTTTATATGTATAATTTTTAAAAACTAATATTATTTATATGCAACTCTTGATTCTACCGAACCATTATCCGAATAATTTCATGTAATATTAAACAATTATTTACAGAAACAAATAATAATTTATTATAAGTTTATAGTTAATGTTGATAAATTTTTAAAAGATGTAATTATTACATTGATCGTCAGTTTTCATTGAGGTTTTAAATATTTTATAATTAAAAAAATTTTTACGTTATGATAAATTTCTAATGAACATATAAAACTATATTTCGTTATATTTTTCAAATGTTTTCGTAATAATTAGCCATAATAAAGAAATGAATAAACAATTTATAAATAAATATATTTTGAAAATAAACCGTTTTTTAAATTTATATGAAACATTTAAAAAAATATAAAAATATCTGTTCTTTATGATATGCTTGAATATGATTTTTCATAAAGTAAATTTTTAACGAAATATAGATATATAAAACCAAATTAATTTTTTATGAATTATATAAAAATTGATTTCATAATATTATATATAGTTTTATCATTTTTAATTTAGTCTATTGTATACATTTTTTAATAAAAAATGGATTTTTTTAAATTTGTCATTACATTTAATTATCGTTAATTTTTTTATTTTACAAGATTTGAATTATATTCGTATTTTGTTTTATTTCAAAATAATTTATCTAGAGATTATGCACACTGTTTTTCATAAAAGACCATCTATGACTGATTGAAATTTACATTGCCAAAACAATATTAACAAATATTGGGTATTAGTGAAT